TTGATTGGTTGGCCAGAAAAGAAAAACATGTATTTGTTGTTACTGATGTAATCTTTTAAATTCTATTATGCTATTCCAGTATATAAAAACCCACTCTGAGCATTTATACTGACTAAGTGTTGGCAGTTCTGTCTGTATGCAGAGGCTGGAGGGAGATCTGGAGTAGATTATCAGATGTAACTTTTTAGAAATAAATAGAAGGGCATACATTAGTAACAATTAATACAAGGGAAAATATGGGCTTCTCAGTGGCATATCATAAACAAACTAAATAAAGTGCATTTTTTAAAAGGTACAAGAAGACCAAGTGAGAGCATATGCTAACTAATCTGGCCCTTAGGGCCCCACATATGCCTCCGGCATACCACAAAATGAGGCATCCAAGCCCATTGTCCTGACCCCCTTTGGGAGTGGCGGTGGCAGGGGATCCCTCTCCTCTTCTAGCAAGGGAGGGGAAACGGCATGATCTCCCTTTCCTCCACATAGGAGCACAGCAGGACCCTCTCGTCTCTGGTGGCAGCAGATCTACCCCGTAGTACAGCTGTTGGGGTATATCTGCTTCAGTGGATCTTGGGACTTAATATCACAGTGAAATGAAAAGGGCAGTTCAAATCTCTAAGAACTATTGGTGCTATTCTGCCTTCAGGCTACTTTAATGTATTTTTTTCGTTGCTGCACTCTGAATATACCATAATTTATTGCTAGTAAATATCCATTCCCTGACCAGCTGGCACATTTAGATGCTTCAGGAAACTCTTAAAGCTTGATTCAACATGGACTTGCACCTTGTGTAGTCATATACACTTATGTAAAATGGGTGTGAAACAGTAGCACCAGTGTGAGCAAGTGGACAATTATTTTATTTAGGGTTTTCCAGTGCACAGTTGGAAATGACTTACACAGGGAGTAATGCAGAGGAGAACTAGACCTTGAGATCAAGAGCCAAGACCCAATGAAGAATATAAATAAATGGGTTTTTGTCAGGCTTCTAGTGTTGAAGTCCTAAAGTGTCCAAGCTTGAAACGATCTCAGTGGACATCACCCATGACATTTGACTCATTATGTTCTTATAAGCTTTCAGAGCTGACTTGCCTTACTGAGGCCTGTGAAAGTAAAAAAGAAACCCTTGTGGTTTCTTTGACTACTGTGATGTTCTACGTACTGGTTCTGTCATGTAGATGAAATATCTTAGTCATCTCTGCACAAATTGTAACTCATCCATGTTACCATGAAGAACATGGGAAAGATCTGTAATATTTTTATGAATATTATGTGACCCTCTGGATGGTTGATGATTAATGTGTTGCTTCCTAAGGATAAGTGAGGGTTATTTCTGTCTTAGGTGGTTTTGCACATCGGCAAGACTCAAAGTCAGTGGTGTTAGCCTAATAACCAATGTTTGACAATATAAATGTCAAGGCCTTTGAGGTTTTGTCCCTGTCCAAATAGGGCACAACATCTGCTAGCTTAGAGAAGAGAGGAAGAGTCCTCCAGGCTGGAAACCTTAAACAAGTGATACTCAGACTGAGGCTTGGAAGCCGCAAGTGATTCTTTAATGTGTCTCCTGTGTCTCTTTGCAGCACATGATATTAAAACACTGAGATTTAATTATTAACCGATGTAAGTTATTAACCAGTCAGGATGCTTTTTCTCTGTTATTCATCAACTGTAGAATACTTGGTCAGTCATTTTGCTGTGAGAATAATACAGTAAAAGCTTTTTTATCCAGCATTTTAGGGAAATGGGGGGGTGCCAGTAAGTGAAAAATTCTGGTTAACTAAGAGAGAAGGAGTTTGGGTACAGGAGGGGGTGCAGGGTTGGGGCAGGTGAGGGGGTGCGGGGCGCGGGCTCTGGGAGAGGAGGCTTGAGGCAGGGGGTTGGGGCGTGGGAGGGGGCTTGGGGTGCCAGATCCAGGCGGCACTCACCTCGGGGGGCTCCCTGCAAGTGGCACCTTGTCCCTGCTGCTCCTAGGCAGAAGCGCAGCAGGTGGCTCTGTGCACTGCCCCCCACCCCGAAGCACTGGCTCTGCAGCTCCCATTGGCCAGGAACCAATTTCAGTTGATTTCAATTACAACAGAGAATACGAAGTGTACAGTGCTCACTTTATATTATTTTTATTACAAATATTTGCATTGTAAAAATTATAAACAAAAGAAATCGTATTTTTCAATTCACCTCATACAATACAGTAGTGCAATCTCTTTATCATGAAAGTATAACTTACAAATGTAGATTTTTTTTGTTTGTTACATAACTGCACTCAAAAACAGAACACTGTAAAACTTTAGAACCTACAAGTCCACTCGGTCCTACTTCTTGTTCAGCCAATCACTAAGACAAACAAGTTTGTTTACATTTACGGGAGATACTGCTGCCTGCTTCTTATTTACAATGTCACCTGAACATGAGAACAGACATTCACATGGCACTTTTGTAGCCGGCATTGCAAGGTATTTACGTGCCAGACATGCAAAACATTCATATGCCCCTTCATGTTTTGGACACCATTCCAGAGGACATGCTTCCATGCTGATGATGCTCATTAAAAAAAATTGCATTAATTAAATTTGTGACTGAACTCCTTGGGAGAGTATTATGTCCCCTGCTCTGTTTTACCCACATTCTGCCATATATTTCATGTTATAGCAGTCTTGGATGATGACACAGCACATGTTGTTCATTTTAAGAACACTTTCACTGCAGATTTGACAAAAAGCAAAAAGGTACCAATGTGAAATTTCTAAAGATAGCCAGAGCACTCGACCCAAGCTTTAAAAATCTGAAGTGCCTTCCAAAATCTGAGAGGGATGAGATGTGGAGCATGCTTTCAGAAGTCTTAAAAGAGCAACACTCCAATGTGGAAACTACAGAACCCAAACCACCAAAAAAGAAAATCAACCTTCTGCTGGTGGCATCTGACTCAGATGATGAAAGTGAACATGTCGGTCCGCACTGCTTTGGATCGTTATCGAGCAGAACCCCTCATTAGCATGGACGTATGTCCTTTGGGAATGGTGGTTGAAGCATGAAGGGACATATGAATCTTTAGTGCATCTGGCACATAAATATCTTGTTCTCACTTTCAGGTGACGTTGTAAACAAGAAGCAGGCAGCATTATTTCCTGCAAATGTAAACAAACTTGTTTGTCTGAGTGACTGACTGAACAAGAAGTAGGACTGAGTTGACTTGTAGGCTCTAAAGCTTTACATTGTTTTATTTTTGAATACAGTTATTTTTTTGTACATAATTCTACATTTGTAAGTTCAACATTCATGATATAGAGATTGTATTACAGTACTTGTATGAGGTGAATTGAAAAATACTATTTCTTTTGTTTTTTTTATAGCACAAATATTTGTAATCAAAAATAAATATAAAGTGAGCACTGTACATTTTGTGTTGTGTTGTAATTGAAATCAATATATTAGAAAATGTAGAAAACATCCAAAATATTTACATAAATGGTATTCTATTATTGTTTACAGTGCAATTAATTGCAATTAATTTTTTTAATCGCGTACAGCCCTACTTGTATATTATCAGTAGAGTTGTTAGTTGGATATTCTAATTATAAAGTAATTATCTCCTTTATTGATACCTGTTAGCCACTTTTGAAGTCTGCTGAATTCTATAGCTAGAACTCAGGACAGAATTTGGTCTGCAGAATCTATATTATTGATGATATTTTTTTCAAATCCCAGATTGATTTAGTAGTGCTGCTAGCTGGGGAAACCATATTTTTGTATATAAACTGAGCAAATTTGATCTGGAGTCCTTGACTAGATGATCATAATGGTCCCTTCTGATCTTAAAGTCTAAAGTCTATGACTCCAGTGAATATGGAAATACAGCCCATAATGTCACTTTTATTCTCTTTTTATTGTTGAACCATACTTTCTGATTGATCAGTACTAATCAGCTGGGTTTCTGGCTTTGGAAGCTTAGGGGTGGAAATCAATTTTCTCTAAAAATACAGCAGAGGTAGATATGATAGTGTTCTTTGGTATTGTAGAATTCTGACAATTCAGGCTATGCAGATGCTTTTAACGCATTTAGTTCTTGGACAGTATATCTGTGGAAATCATATGGCCTGCCTTTTACACTCTGTATGGAAATTATTTGGTTTTGTGAGGGAGTTGAAAATTTTTCAAATTTTCATCTAACAAGAAAGGGATAGAATAATATTGAGTGTTCGACAGTTAGACCAATTTTTAGTATATTTGACTCAAATTTTATACGCAAAAAGAACAGGAGTACTTGTGGCACCTTAGAGACTAACAAATTTATTTGAGCATAAGCTTTCTTTTTGCGGATACAGACTAACACGGCTGCTACTCTGAAACCTGTCAAATTTTATATTGGACTATAGCTATTTGTCTCTTTGGGGGGGGGGTGTGCTTTTTTGAGGTTTCATTTTTTCCATTCTTTTACATAGTTTGTTTTGATGGGGAGCCTTATTCCAATGAAAGTTGCTTGTTGACACTTCAAAGGAAATAGTGGGCTCATCTTGTTCATAGCTTGTGTAAGGGATGATTTGGCTCTAGGCAAATACTCGCTATGATAGCAGCTCAAAATGGCAAACCGATGCTACCAAATGTCAAGGCAAAAGAAAAATCTCTTACAGAGAGGCTTTCAGGCTGATGGACTTTTAAAAGGCTTAAATATGCAGCTTTCTAAAAGAGACCAGTCAAAAAAAAAATCAAACAAATATTCATTTTAGAATGCCTCAATTTACTGTTAAATAAATTTTTTCTAGAACTAGTTTATATATAATTACAAAATATCATAAACAATTTATTTCACCTTGGTTGTGTTGTGTTAACTTTCCTGGTAGTTTAGGTAATTTTTGATTAATTTTACCTTTTAAGTTAAAACTGGGAGGGAGGGAGGGGAAAATAATGATACCCAAGACTTTTTATTTTACCGATAATAAAAAAGTTTAAAATAATTTTCTAAACAAACATTAACAATTAAAAGTAGTGTCATTCACCCTTCATAGATGAAGCAACCCTTAATCAGGTCCCAGTTCGCTTGTACCTACAAGGATGACCTGATGACTGAGAAGAAGGGTCAGCACTTCTTCAGTAGGAGCCAAATCCCGACTTGCATACATCCAGCACCAAAACAAATGCTTTCTCTCTGTTTAGAGGCTGAGACTTTTGCAGGTAAACTGAATTCTGTTTGAGTGAATGAGAAAATTTTATTCCTGATTTTTCAGGTCTTATACCTGTTGATTTTTATCAAATAGACTACTACATCAATCTTTATTAAAAGTCAAATGTAAAGGATTTTTTTCAAGGAAAAACAAAACTGAGAGTTTAATAGCTTTGCACAAGTTACAATCAGTAAAAACTAATCTAAAATATTTTTAGTCTATGCTATGTGAGATAAGTGCTTTGAAATTAGCAGCATAGATTGTAAATTATTTATTTTTTACTGCCATCATAATCCCCAAATAAATTTTAACCAACAGTATGTCAGGTTTCTTTTTACCTATTTTACAGAGATGACCTAGTGCTTGAGGGAAATTTATATATTGAATGGGAAAATTATGGCTAATTGTTAATTTTACTTTTTAAACAAGAACACATTACAAGATGTGTATTATATAAATTACTGTTAGGACATAAGAATATTCATCCTTTGCAACATTTTGACCTTTGTATATAAATTTATTTCCTGAAGTTGTTGATGGTTACATTTATGCATGTGTAATGAATGCCATTTTAAAATTTAATGGTGACGTGTCTATGTTTAGGTTTGTTTATAGTCGTTGGCTAGCTGATGGCCAGTCCAATTATTATTGTTCATTTTATTTAAGAAAGCACTCTCTTGCTAAAATACATGACCTTTATGCCATTTAAATTCTAGGACTATCCTGGCTAACTACTTTAGGAGTAATAACTTCTTTTTCCTTCCCAAAATATTTTATTCTCTTACACAATAGAAGGTGTAAAGTCACCTCCTGAAAGACCAGCACTTGGAACCAGTTCTGGAAATGTTCTTCAGAATGGAAGTAAAAATGAAAAAGCAAAAAGTTGTCAGCCAAGAAACAAGAGCTCAAAGAGGAAACACATGGCTCTGAATAGTGAGAAAGTCATCTGCAATAATGAAAATGAACCATCTCAGTACACAAATATTAAGAGACCCAAGATATCAAACATACTACAGGAGAAATTGGACAGCAAACTAGATGGAGCAGCAAAAGGCAACAAGGCTACAGCCAAGAATAAATTGGTTGCTGGTCAGAAAAAGTTAACTGACTTTTTTAGACTATGAATCTTATTTTTATTTTGATGTATATAGTAAATTTACTATTCCATAATAAACATTGTACATTTTGAAAGAACAAGATAACAGGTGCATTAACACATTTTGGCTTCATAGTGTCCAAATATATTATGTTAACGTAGGTTACATATATTATTCATTAGACAAATATAGTGACAAGTCTTGATTGTGCAGCATTCTCAATTTCAGTAACAATACATCATAACTATTACAACTAGCTTATCTAGTGAAAATGTCAATCATGTTTCCCTCTATTTTGAAATACAGATAGAAGTATTTAGATGTACATATATAGCAATACTAAAAGCACAGTAACTTCAAGTTTCATTAAATTGGTAACCAATGCTTCTTTAGAGAGGAGGCCAACAGTTTTCAAACTTGCCAACAAGGTCGATAGACTCTTCCCAACATACACCTGAGCACTGAAGAAAAAAATCATTTTACTCTTTTTATATTCTAAGTTGAAATATTTTTTTTCTGTGGAAAAATACACATACACTTACTGTCAAAATCTCTCCTTCCTATAGGAAATTTAGCTGAGTTTTCTTCATCCCCGGTCTCTCTCCTTTCCTGTATTGATTCAATATTCTGAATTTCAGTGTCAGCTGGAAAAGCCATAGATCCTTTCAATGCAAGATAAGGTAGCTGTTTTATACCTAGGTTCAGTGGCGAACCATGGCTTATGAAATTGTGTTTGGAACCTATATTCTGAAGTAAGAAAAAAAGATTTAAATTTTAAAGATGAAATGTTAACATTGTGTTAGTTCTTTTTTTGTTTTCTTTTTCTTTCCCCCATTCAGAACAAAGGTATTATAACAGACAGTCATTTAAAAGCCGTACAATGCCACACATTGGGACTTTGGCTAAGAAACCTTAAAATCAAAGTGCATGTTAAAATAACCTGGATGATCAGCTTAATTTCAGTTTAGTTATTCAGTGGGATTGAAACCATCTTGGTATGTATGGCTAATCCTGTTGACATTCTAAGATATATTTTTAGTACAGAATGGGCAAAATTTTCAATCAGTGATAAAAAAGTAGACTGATACTTTCTTACAGGTTCTGACCACCTGGAATCCTGGTAAAAATCCGGTCATTTGTTTAGTTTCTCAAACTCAGATTTAGGTGACTAAAATTAGATACCTATATTTGAAAACTTAGCATTCAGTAATTGCATGATCTTATAACTGAAACCATCCACCACAACATTCTTTAAAATTGTAAGCTTTTAACCCTTTTAATAGGACTATAAATTGAGCTTATATTCATGTTTTAGTGTTCAATAAAAAATGGAAACTCACTAAGAATTTTGGGTTTCTGTCTTCCTCCTCATCCAGAAAGCTGCTGTCCTCCATCTTGTAGTGCTCAAGAGTAGGTGTAGTCTCGGTCTTCTCTGTTTTACCTCCATTCCAAACAGCTTTTCCTATATTGAGCGCATTTAGTATCATATCATCATCTTCTACCTTTCGCATAGACTTCGAAACTGAAAGTAAAAAGCCTTGAGAAAAGAGAGAGAAAATTAGTATTAACATGTAGGATGGAATATGCATTCTTAGTTGTTTAATGTTTGCATAGAAGTTAAGTTTCAGATATATTTAAGAAAGATGTCCCTTGTAAATTAATGTGTTCTCCAATCATGTCTACCTTTATATATTTTACAGATTGAATAGAAGCCACTTCAGTGGCTTATGAGTTCACCCTGTATAAATGACTCATTATAAAGAGGCTAACCTTTTGAATAGTACTTGTAATGCCATATATTGGTTAGAACTACTTAAGTATGGGTATTTTTTACCATGGGTTATTAGCTCCTTTGTAGACTTTTAGAACAGTGCAGATTAGTAGTTCCTTTTAATGGATCAGTTTTAGCAAAATTCACAGGATACCATAATCTCTACACATGCTCTTTTTAAATTAGGCTTTACTTTTCACTTAAGGCAGTTTTAGAAAAAGAACTAATTTATACATGTAAGAAGGAGGGTCAGCAAAGTAATTTATTTTGTTTTAAACCCTGGTCTTCTCTATTTTAAAGTGGAATTGATTTTCAAATCTTCTTTAGAAACTAGTTGAAAAAAAACTTTGAAGGTAGCAATGGTTTAAAATACTACCGTTGCCTTAATACAGGCAAAGCTGAAACCTTTAACTTGTGTCCAGTAAATTGTGTACCTTTTTATCTGAAGATATAGCTGGCAATCCTCACTCATTGCTGATACATGTACTTGTCAGAGTTTGGAGGCAGTTTCCCATCTGAAAGGATCAGTGCCGCAAACACCAATAGGTCAGTACCCAGATCATAATTTCAGAAGTTCCTCCCTCTCCCACTCTGAATAGAAACTTCAATTTTTGCCTCAAATAATCTTCCAGATTTAATGCTCTATTATCCCCTCCTGTGTTTAGAAACACAATAAAGGTCTATGGAAGGAAATTTCTGTGGCTATTCCTCCACATTTTGCTGTTTGAGGGGCAGCATTTGTCCCCCCCATGGGGAAAGTGTAAGGGGCCTGCCCAGACCTAGCAGATCCCTAAGGGATCTATTTGATGCCAGGGCCATCTGCACGGTGACCCTGTACCTCTGCACTAGTTCTGATTTCCGTTTATCCACCCTGTGAGGATCTGCGGGTCCTGAACCCGGGCCCGTAGGCCACTGCTGCATCCCCAACACCACTGGATGGCTATAGTAATGACAGGAGAATTGGGAGCCCTAAGGCCTTGCACTCCACCAGAGTCCCTGATTTGGCTGGTTACACTATTTAAGCTAGAAAGAGAAACAGGGGGTTGTCTGTGCAACAAGATGGATTCTGGGTTACTGCTGCTACAGACCCTCTTGTTCAATATCTGACTTTCAGTCTCGTCTCCAGTTCCTGACTTCAACCCTGCCCTGTACCTGGCGTCTGCCCTCAGCCTCGTTCTGGTCGCGGAACCCTGTCGGCCTGGTTTTTGACTGCTCCAGCTCCGACCCTATGCTACTGACCCTCAGCTTTGGCTTCTGTTTCCTGTTTGACCCCAGTTCTGACTTTTGCCCCTGGTCCCATGGTTCCTGTCTTTGGACTGCCCATTGGCCTATGGTTCCTGAACACTGCACTGAATGGCAGGCTGGCCTGCCTATGTCCAGGTCATTGCGCCAGTCTTCCACAGGCTCTGACACACCCTTACTCCAGTCTTTAAGAGATATCTGCATGCACATGGCACTCAGCTAGTCAGAGCAACGTACCAGACCATCAGGAAACTGTCCACGCAGCTGAGTAAACAAAAAAATGAGCACCTCCCCTCTTCCAATTTCTTTAATATTTACTTCCTCGTTTACATTTTTTTGTAATCCCACTTTATATTTGGCTAAAATTCACTTTTGCATCAAACCGCTATTGTGATTTCTTGCACTAACTCTTTTTCTCTATCAGCAGGTATCTTCTCTCCACCACTGACTGGTACCAAGGAGAGACCTGGACCAGTGCCTACTTCTATTCCAGACAATTATAATAAATGTCATCATAGGTTAATGAAAACTTACTTCAAAATAGAAGTTTACCAAACGCTTTCAATTCTCAATCAAACAACAAAATTCATGTTTTAGATCAGTTTGATCAAAATAGCAGGCGCCTCTCTTTGCTCAGCATGAAATCATATGATCATAGAATATCAGGGTTGGAAGGGACCTCAAGAGGTTATCCAGTCCAACCCCCTGCTCAAAGCAGGACTAATCCCCAGACAGATTTTTGCCCCAAATCCCTAAATGGCCCCCTCAAGGATTGAACTCTCAACCCTGGGTTTAGCAGGCCAATGCTCAAACCACTGAGCTATCCCTCCCCTGCCCCCCTCGTAGAGCTATAATCCATCCTTGGATGGCTGAGGGAGGAAGGGAGATAGGCTTTGGTTTGGGTTGAGCCTTTTTAAGAAAATAAAAAAAAAACCACTTATCTGTGAGTTGGGAAGGGCACTTTCCTTCCCACATTGTTGTTACTAAGGACTCTACAGTTGCTATTGTTTGGGGGGAAAGTCCTATTATCTAAAAGTCATGGGGTATGTTGTCACCAAAATGAATGCTAAATTCAATGGGTGCATCTGTGTCCAATGCATCTAGGTGTTCACAATCTAAATAAAATGTATATTTTTCCTTTTAGGCTTCAAATACTCCACTTCTGGCAGAAAACTAAAATATTTTAAATTACGACAACTAAATTCATATTCTAAATTGCTGCCTAAAATTTTGTATGTTATCAAATAGCCTTTTCTTTTCACGTTTAATATTAACTTAGTTCTTTTTAGTACCGCTTACATCAGTAATTTACAATTATTTTCAGTAACTCCTCCTGCTTTTACATGGAATTGTGTTACTGTGAAATCAGACTTAATCTAAAATCTAATGTGAAATGCAAAAGTAAATAAATTTGGTCGATGACACTTAATACGGCTGGAACTTATCTTTTATTCTGTTTGCATGCCTATTAAAATAAATATTTGATAGACCTTTTGTTTCAGTTAGTTTATTGACTCTTAATGTTCATTTCTGAGCTTTTGAGTCTAATAAGCACTGTCTGTTTCTGAACAATAAATAAAACCAGGTAAAACTTTTTCTGTTTTTTACAGGGTTTTTTTAAGACTTAAGTGAAATGAAAAGCAATAAACAGTATAGTGTGACATACTATTGAATGAATATTTAAATATTAAAAAATTACTGAATTTTAGACGTAGTGCCAAAATCCATGTTCAATGATAATTTCTATACTAGCATACTGTTTTTCAGTTATCCTTCCTTAGCCACCAACATTGGTTTTTGCTCCATATTCAGAGTTAATGGTCTGTTTTATAGAATCGTGATTTTATTAATCTCGAGCATGCTATAGAAAATTTTGTTTGCACTTAATATTTTCCTCAAGTTATATTTTATTTCAGTTTTACCAACAGTTCTCATCTTTTTTTTAATGGCAATAGGTGCCTCTTGTTAGTGCCATGTAGATTCTGCTGTGACCCTATATTCTGGATGAAGTTCATCCCTGTGCAAAGAGCCCAGCACAAGGCCTATTTTTTCCACAGGACTTGTGCTGTTCCGCTACATGTGGGTGAATTTCACCCTATGTGTACCTACTCTTTTTCCCATGACATTTCTCAATTAGCTTGACTTATTTAAGCAATCATATTAAACAATAAGCATATGTCTCTTAGTGTGTTTAAATGTACAAACACATTTTTCTGTAGTGTGTATATATAGTACTGTATGTGCATATATAAATATTTTAGCAGCAGAAGCTACCCTAGGTAGAAAATCAATTGCAGAAATTTAAAATAAAACAGCACTTTTAAATTGTTGAACAGGTAGATAGCTGCAAGAAGATTTTTACCTAGGATTTTGTACGTTTTATACAGATGGCTATATTTCGGTTATATACAGATAACATCCTCATAAAATCAGAACCTACTCAACTTTCAGACTGAGAACCAAATGTCTTGAGGTTCAAAAGTTTGCCTAAAAACGCTTCATAATGTATCTGTTCAATTTCTGTAATGCTGTTACTGTGCAGAGGGAGCAAGGGAGATATCTTGACTCCTACAATGCTGTAAATAGGTAGAGCAGTTGAATGTGTGTGTGACTTTTGAGATAATCAAGTGTCTTGAAGTAATATAACGGCATGTTCTTTCCTTGACATTTATAACTAAAGAAATTGTTAGTGATCATAAAATTATCGGTTCCTTAGAAAATCCACCTAAATATTTTGACGCAATTATGTATTGCAGCAATAAATTCCACAGTTTTGAGTATAAGCTGTGTGAAGTAGTATTTGCTTAAATTTATGTTGGGTTTGCCAGCCATGGATTTCACCATGATCCTCAGCTTTTGTAATATTGGACAGAGTAAAAGCAAAGGACTAGTACTGTTAAGTGTAGATCTGGATGTCTTTTGTTCAGCACTGAAGGAAAATAGTAAAATCTGAATAGTATGCAGTGTGCTGCATTTGCCTGCACGTGTTGCCAATAGAAGCTTCAAAAGGGTATTCAAGTGTTTTCTGCCACTCATTCTTAAGAGGAATTTGAAGATCTCAACCAGAGGGTATAAAACTTGGTGTACACATTTCTTTCCGAATGAAGAAGTTGTACAGTAAGAGAGAGACAATTATTGGGTTAGGTCACATTGAATTTCTCTTAACTTGCTCTTCCTAGGCATGATTACTAAAGGAGAAACTCCATAGTTGGGTAAAAATGGAGGAGGCTTCAACTACAGGAAAGTTTTCTGAGCTTGATGTTTAGT